CCGGTCCCTCGTCCTTCTCCGGCCCTCCGCCCTCCGGCCCTTCGTCGTCTGGCCCCTCGTCCTCTTCTTCATCCTCTTTCATTTTCTTACCCAGGCTTTGGGCTTTCAGAAAAGTCTCAAATTCAGCTTCCCTTCGCATAAAGTCAGCTTCGATTTGCGAATATCCAACTTCCATTTCCATAGATCTAGCTTCCCCTGGTGTCAATTCAGCTTCCTTTCGCAAAAATTCAGCTTCCCTTCGCAAAAATTCAGCTTCCTTTCGCAAAAATTCAGCTTCACTTTCCATACATTCAGCTTCCCTTGGCAAAAATTCAGCTGCCCTTCGCAAAAATTCAGCTCTCCTTCGCTGAAATTCCGAAGCTGTAGCTGCAAACCAAAAAACAGGAAAATCAGGAAAATAAAATTATGGCAAAATTTTCCCATTCTTTAGCAAAATTAATCGAAAAGGAATAAAACAAAAGGTATGGTACACATGGATTCAGAACCAAGTCTAGGTAAGGCCAACTTGACATAAATGTATAACAAAGGCTTATTAGGATTAAGAGCCTGTTTGGTGTTACTTGTGGGAGTTTTAGCTTTTTGAGTACTGTTATGAATGATAAGTTTAAATTTTTATTGGAGGAAAAATAAAGTTTTAACTTTTAGAAAGGTGAAAAAGTGAGTGAAAAATAATTAAAAAAGAAGTTTATGAAAAATTTAGATTTAAAATTTTTGAACTTTTACTGTTTAAGAACTTTTTGAGGTTAAAAAAAAATTTTAAAGTGTAAATTTTTAAGAGGAAAATTTAAATTCATGAAATATGAATAGTATCCAAAAGCTGAAGCTCTTACAACCTGTACCTAACAGGCCTTAAGAGGCTGTAAAGAAAAGAATCAAAGCCATCATGCTTGCTTGCTTGAAGAATAAGGTTTTCTAACATCAGAGTGGCCCACGACAATTAACAAGGGCCATACCATTTTCTTCAGAATTATTCAAATTCATAAGTAAGACAAGAAAATAAAAACAGAATCCAAAAAATAATTAATAAATAAATTACTTCTATGAATAAGATTTTAATTTTTATAGAGTCTCATCTGTTGTCATAATTGACACAAGCACTAATTAAAAAGAGTGATGGTCAGGAATAATAATAATAATAAATTTAACACAAGACCTTTTTATATAAAGATTTGAAACCCAAAAATGTTTTTACAGGATGGCATTATATATTTTAAAAAGGATAGCATGTGCTAAAAATTACTTAAATTTTGATTTTTAAAAAATAAGCTAAAACAGAGAAATTAAAATTTAAAAGAAACGAACCTCTTAATGACCTAAAGACACCCAAAGGTCTTTTTCCAAGGTATTCAACAATTCTTTTATGTCCCATGGCAGAGGCCAGATCGGCAGGTGTAAGGCGTGAAGGTGATCGCTCTGTTAATGCTCCAGGATCTGCAGCCAATGAAATGAGGGTAGCCACCGTCTTCTCTCTGAAGTTGAAGAAAGTTTATGTCAATAGAACCAACACAGAAAAGATCAATGAGTCAGAAATCACTGAGAAAATAATACATAAGCTTCTTAAAGCATGTGATGTCAGATGATATGGCATTTTTCACGTATGTTTGAATCTGAAATTTCAAGAAAGATATATTTTCCCTGATTATGGACTATTTGCTAACCTACAGAGCCATTATTTTAGTCCTCTTTGGATCTTCTCTTGTGGACAACAGCAAAATGCTCAAAAAGGAAAAGAGATAAAGAAACATAGAAGAAATGGTAACCTTAAATAGAAATGATCAAAAGAATTGTAGAGGTGTTCACCTGCCAAAAAACGCTGCCCAGTGAAGTGCAGTCCATCCATTCACATCACGGAAATCAACACTTTCACAAGCATATATAGTAGGCTCCAGAGCCCAATCATAGCCAAGCGCAGCTGCCAAATGTAGAACACCTTGTCCACCCTCATCCAATATCCTAGGGCCATCACCACCTTCAGCTGTCTTCTGTAAGATCCATACACGCAACTTCTCTTTCAGATGCTTCTGAAGCAGCTGGTCCTTTAATTTTTCTGAGGAAAATTCCGTTCCTGAACCAGTCTTTAACATCTGGTCCAATTCTTTGTTGTCCCCTTTCAGCAATGAACTGATTTTACTGCTCAACTGGGATTCCTCCTCTAGGCTGCTGGTGACAGAATTTGTGGCACTGGAGGCTGACCACAGTATGTTATCAAAACGCAGAAGAAGATTTGCCCCAGCACTGTCACTAAAGTTTTCAGCAGCATTTATATCTTGGATATTTAATTTCCCTTCAGAAGGAATGCTGGAAACATCATTCTCATTTTCATTCTCACCTGTTTCCCTGTTGGCCCCAGAACTGGACATCTTCTTTGAACCTTCTTCTG